AATTTTTAAAATTCCTTAAAAGACGCAAATGACCAAAGTTCTCTCAGGAAGAAATAGATAACCTACATAGTCCTATATCTATTAAAGAAATTTAATTTGTAGTTAAAAGACTTTCCTCAAACTAAACTTCATGCCTAGGGGGCTTCATTTGTGAATTCTACCAAAAATGTAAGAAATATATAATATCAATTGTATACATAATCTTCCAGAAAACTGAACAGGAGAAAATATTCAACATCTCACCCTTTGTAGCCATTATTACCCAAAGAACAAATATAATCAAAAATAAGGAAACCATGACCAACACCCCTCACAAACATAGATGCAAAAAAAAAATTATTAAAACTTTAGAACCAACAATATATTTAAAAGGTAATAAATCATTATTAAATGGGGTTTATCTTAGGAATGCAAGCTGGTTTAACATAAAAATCAATTCAAAATATTCAACAGAATGAATAAGAAAAAACATATCATCATCATAAATTCACAAAATCTAACATCCACTTCTGGTTTTTGAAGATCTCAGAAAACTCAGAAGGTGAGAACTTAAAGATAATTCTTAAATCTACAGTTAACATTATAATTAGTGGCAAAAATTCAATGCTTTTTCCCTAAGATCCAGACTAAGGAAAGAATGAGTGTTTTTAACCTCTTCTGTTCAACATTTTATTGAAGATTATAGCTATAATATATAAGTTATAATAAGGCAAGAAAAGGAAATAAAATACACCCAGGTAGGGAAGGGAAGTATAAGACTCTTTTTTACAGATTACATTGATCCCTATGTACAAAACTCTGATGGAACCTACCAAAATAAGTTAATAAGAAATAATAAGTGGGTTTATGAAAATTACAAGGTAAAAAATCAATACAAAAAATCCACTTATGTCTTTTTTTATTTTATTTATTTATTTTTGAAATTTGGGTGTAGACAGATCTTTTTTAATAGTTTCTGACTTTAGACACTCTCCCTGTGCCAGTTACTTCAGGAACATACTTTCCCATACTTTTTTTTTTCCTCTAAAGAGAGAGGGAGGGAATTTTAATATTTATTTTTTAGTTATTGGCGGACACAACATCTTTGTTTGTATGTGGTGCTGAGGATCGAACCCAGGCCGCACGCATGCCAGGCGAGCCCTCTATTGCTTGAGCCACATCCCCAGCCCTTATGTCTTTTTTTAAATTTTCAAATTTGTTTTAATTAGTTTCACATGACAGTAGAATGCATTTATGCACTTTGATATACATAAATGGGATATAATTTCATTTTTCTGAGTGTTCATGCTGCAGAATCATATTGGTCATGCAGTCACATATACACATACAGTAATAATGTCTGTTTCATTCTACTATCTTTCCTATCACCACATCCCCTCCCCTCCCCTCCCCTCCCATCACTTCCCTCTACCTAATCTAAGATAACACTACTCTTCCTTAGTGCCCCCGCCCCCTGCCTTATTGTGAATTAGCATCCTCACATTAGAGAAAACATTTGGCCTTTGGTTTTGTGGGATTGACTTATTTCACTTAGCATGATATTCTCAAACTCCAATCATTTACTGGCAAATGCCATAATTTCACTCTTCTTTAAAGATGAATAATATTCCAGTGAGTTTATATACCACATTTTCTTTATCCATTCATCTATTGAGGGACACTTAGGTTGGTTCCATATTCTAGCTATTGTGAATTAAGCTGCTATAAACATTGACGTGGCTGCATTACTGTAGTATGCTGATTTTTAAGTCCTTTGGGTAGTGCATGCTGAGGAGTGGGGTCAACTGGGTCAAATGGTGGTTCCATTGTCAGTTTTCTGAGGAATCTCCACCTATGTTCCATAGTGGTTGCACCAATTTGCAGTCCCACCAGCAATGTATGACTGTACCTTTTTCACCGCATCCTCGCCAACATTTGTTGTTGCCTATATTCTTGATGATTGCCATTCTAACAGGAGTGAGATGAAATCTTAAAGTGGTTTTGATTTGCATTTCTCTAATTGCTAGAGATGTTGAACACTTTTTCATATATTTGTTGATCAATTGTATCTCTTCTTCTGGGATGTGTCTGTTCAGTTCCTTGGCCCATTTATTGATTGGGTATGTATTCTTTTGGTGTTAAGTTTTTTGAGTTCTTTATATGTCCTAGGGATTAATGCTTTATCAGAGGTGCGTGTGGTAAAGATTTTTCTCCCAATCTGTAGGCTCTCTCCTCATGTTATTGCTTTTTAATTTGTATCTATTCCATTTATTGATTCTTGATTTTACTTCTTGTGCTTTAGGAGTCTTGTTAAGGAAGTCTGATCCTACACCAATGTGGTGGAGATTTGGGCCTATTTTTTCTTCTATTAGGCACAGGGTCTCTGTTCTAGTGCCTAAGTCTTTGATCTACTTTGAGTTGAGTTTTGTGCAGAGACACAGAGGTTTAATTTCATTTTGCTACATATGGATTTCTAGTTTTGCCAGGACCATTTGTTGAAAAGGCTATCTTTTCTCCAGTGAATGTTTTTGGCACCCTTGTCTAGTATGAGATAATCATATTTATGTAGGTTTGTCTCTGTGTCCTCTATTCTGTACCATTGGTCTACAAGTCTATTTTGGTGCCAATACCATGCTGTTTTTGTTACTATAGCTCTGTAGTAGAGTTTAAGGTCTGGTATAGTGATGCCTCCTGCTTCACTCTACTTGCTAAGGACTGCTTTAGCTATTCTGGGTCTCTTAGTTTCTCAAACAAATTTCATGACTACTTTTTCTATTTCTATGAAGAATGTCATTTGGATTTTAATAGGAATTGCATTAAATCTGTATAATGCTTTTGGTAGTATGGTCATTTTGACAATATTAATTCTGCTTATCCAAGAGCATGGGAGATCGCCCCATCTTCGAGGTTTTCTTCAATTACTTTCTTTAGTGTTCTGTAGTTTTCATTGCAGAGGTCTTTCACCTCTTTCGTTAGATTGATTCCCAGGTGGGTTTTTTGTTTTGTTTTGTTTTGTTTTGAGGCTATTGTGAATAGAATACTTTTCCTAATTTCTCTTTCAGTGGATTCATCACTGATGTGTAGAAATGAGTTTGATTTTGGGGTGTTGATTTTATATCCTTATACTTTGCTGAATTAATTTATTAGTTCTAGGAGTTTTCTGGTGGAATTTTTTGAATTTTCTAGGTATGGAATCATGTTATTGGCAAATAGTGATAGTTTGAGTTCTTCTTTTCCTATTCATATCCCTTTAATTTCTTTCTTTTGTTTAATTGCTCTGCCTAGAGTTACAAGGATGATGTTGGATAGAAGTCGTGAAAGAAGATATCCTTGTCTGGTTCCAGTTTTTAGCGGGAATGCTTTCAATTTTTCTCCATTTAGAATGATGCTGGCCTTGGGTTTAGCATAGAGAGCTTTTACAATGTCGAGGTATGTTCCTACTATCCCTAGTTTTTCTAGTGTTTTGAACATGAAGGTGTGCTCTATTTTGTCAAATGGTTTTTCTGCATTTATTGAGATGATTGTATGATTCTTATTTATAAGTCTACTAATATGATGAATTATGTTTATTGATTTCTGTATGTTGAACCAAACCTGCATCCCTGGGATGAATCCCACTTGATTGTGGTGCACTATATTTTTAACATATTTTGGTATGTGATTTACCAGAATTTTATTGAGACATTTTACATCTATGTTCATCAGGGATATTGGTCTGAAGTTTTCTTTCCTTGATGTGTCTTTGGCTGGTTTTGGTATCAGGGTGTCATTAGCCTCATAGAAGAGTTTGGAAGGGTCCCCTCCTTTTCTATTTCATGAAATACTTTGAGGAGTATTGGTGTTAATTCTTCTTTGAAGATCTTGTAGAACTCAGCTGAGAATCCATCTGGACCTGGGCTTTTCTTAGTTGGTAGGCTTTTGATGGCATTTTCTATTTCATTATTTGAAATTGATCTGTTTAATGGCTGGGGATGTGGCTCAAGCGGTAGCGCGCTCGTCTGGCATGCGTGCGGCCCAGGTTCGATCCTCAGCACCACATACAAACAAAGATGTTGTGTCCGCCGAAAACTAAAAAATAAATAAATAAATATTTAAAAAAAAAGAAATTGATCTGTTTAAAACATGTATCTCCTCCTCATTCAGTTTGGTAGGTCATGTGTCTCTAGAAATTTGATGATGTCTTTGATATTTTCTATTTTATTAGAGTACACATTTTCAAAATAGTTTCTAATTATCTTCTGTATTTCAGATGTGTCTGTTGTGATATTTCCTTCTTAATCTTGTATTTTAGTAATTTGAGTTTTCTCTCTTTTTCCTCTTTGTTAGGATGGCCAGGGGTTTATCTATTTTGTTTATTTTTTTAAAGAATCAACTTTTTTGTTTTGTCAATTTTTTAATTGTACCTTTTGTTTTAATTTCATTAATTTCAATTAATTGATCTAAATTATTTTCTGTCTTCTACTGCTTTTGGTGTTGATTTGTTCTTCTCTTTCTAGGGCTTTGAGATGTAGTGTTATGTCATTTATTTCTTGACTTTTTATTCTTTTCATGAATGCACTCCTTCTTGAACGTTTCTTCTACTGTGTTCTCAGTGGCTTTTCTGTTGAAACATCTTGTTTTGTTTGGGGCTCTTTATTCCCTTGTTTTTCCAGGGATAAATTCTATCCTGCAGACCTATAGTGTCCCTGAAGGTTTCCAGTGCTTGCCTTTACTGGTGAGACCCATATCAGCAGCACCCAGTGTACACAATATACAGACTTAAACCTAACAGCTTCAATTTCAAGTGGTAGATGAGGGAACAGAGGTAGTGTAGTACACGATATTCACGAGGGAGGAAGAGAGAAGCTAGAAGTAAAAATTCACAGGAAGAGTGGAAGAGGAGCCAACAGAGATTGGCTGTTAGGTGGAGAAAAGTTGGAAAGAAAATCCAAGAAAATAGACAAGAGAGAGGAAGAATACGAGCAAAGAGAAAAAATTAAAGACATAAAAATACAACAAAAATGCAGAACACCATTCATATATCATTGTCCTCCGCACACTGATGCATAAAAAACATCCTGTTCCAAATATGGTAGAGAGATCAGTGAATCAAAAAATAAAATAAATCTTGCTGGAAAATCGAACTGTCTCTGTCAGAGTTCAACAGTTTCTCAGCCCTGTATCTGACATTTCTCGGGATAACCAAACCCAGATCAGCCTTCACAAACCCAGTCTCTATCCCGCTGACCTGGGCTTCAGATACCTCAGGCTCAGCCACACTGCAGGCCCAAGACCTCATGCTGCTCCTACTTGCAGAGAGACCACCAGGGATCCACTCATGTAAAGGAGCAACCCCGAGATGCAGCAGCAAGACAAGGGCCACCAGCGCTCTCAGCAGGAAGACCCCAGGCTCCTCCAAACCCACAGGCACCCCACACTGGATCTGCAGGTCCCAGCTGGAGTCCCCAGGCAGAGGCTCTTGTGGTGGTAAACCTGCTGGCACCCAGGCCCCAGGCCCTGGCTGGTGTCCCCAAATGGGTGCAGCCACGTGCAACCAAACCTGGAGTCTCCTCCGCAGCAGTCCTCTAGGCCATGGCGGCAGTGGTGGTGGTGGAGGGGTGGGGGTGGTTGTTGGCAGCAGGCAGCAGGTCAGCAGTAACGGTGGCTGCTACGGCAGCTGCAACTGCATCTGTGTGGGCAGCATCATCAGGATAACTCCGGTCGTCAGCAGCAGTGTTGGCTTCAGTTGCATCCGGGCAGCAGTTTCTTCTGTGGCAGCAGCACCCAGAAAGAAGACCTCCAGACAACCTCAGGCTGGCAGCAGCGGAATGAGAGGCAGCAGCAATGGCGGTATCGGTGCAGGTGGCTGTTGATTGACAGGAGACTTCCGGTTCAGCAGCAGCGACCATACCATAGTGGTAGCCTGCGAATTCCCTTCAGAGGTAACCGATTTCCTGTTCAGAGAAGAGACCTCAGGGCACAGCAGAGGCTTCTGTGGCAGCCCCTGTTATGTTTCTAAATGCCAATTATTAACAATGAGAAATTGAAATTAAAAAAGCATTTATAATGTGTCAAATATGCAAATCATCTTGGTGGATAAGACTGTCAAAAATGCACAAGTTTTGTTGTGAACTATAAGTACTGCTGAGAGAAATTAAGGAAAAGCTCAATAAATTAAGAGACAAACTGCATTTGGAAGTTCATTGACTGTGTTTGCAGATCAGAAGACTACAGCGTTCAGAAACAGTTCTCCCCAGACTTATTTATGGAGTCAACCCTCTCCTAATTTATTCCCAGAAGACTCTTTTGGAGAAATTGACCGAGTGATTCCAAAATTCATATGTATATAAGAGCAAAAGACCTAAAATGCTAAAACAAATTTGAAAAAAAAATGAAGTTAAAGAATTTACTTACTTGACTTCAGGACTTACTAAATGAAAACTAATCAAATGGGTACATTGCTGTGTAAATGCACTACAAATAAACAAACCAATGGAACAGACAAGTGTCCAGAAATAGAGGCACACGCCTAGACACGAATGGTCAGTTGACTTTCAACAAAGGTGCAAGGACTATGCCATGAAGCCAAGGCAGGCTTTTCAACAAAGGGTGCTAGGAAAACTGGGTGACTTTGCACAACAAAATGAACCTTGTTCTCTTTGTTGCAATGCATGCAATAATTATAACTAGGGTGTTGGAGACCTGAATGGGATAGCTAAAGCCATTAAGCCTTCAAAAGAAACCATTGGAGAAAATCTGTGCAACCTTCAGTCTGGCAAAGGTCTCTTAGATATGACACCAAAAAGCACAGTCCACAAAAGAGAAAAATGATAAACCCATCTTCATCAAAATGTAAAACCCCTGCTTTTCAAAAGACACTGTTAAAGAGATAAAAATACAAACCACACAAATGGGAAAACAGCTTTGCAAAGCATATAGCTGATAAAGGCCTGTCATTTAGAACATAGAAAGAAACCTCCACTGAGTACATCAGTGCATGCATAGGATCCCAGCAAGTCAAGAGGCTACGGCGGGAGGATTGCAGGTTCAAGGCCAGCCTCAGCAATTCAGCAACTGTCTCAAAATAGAAAGTAAAAAGAGCTGGTCATGTGGCTCATGACACAGCACCCCTGAGTTCAATCCCCAGTACTGAGGAAAAGTGAGAGAGGAAGGAGGGAAGGAAGAAAGGAGGAAAGGAAAGAAGGAGTTTCAAGACTCAATAATAAGAAAATAAGCAATCTAACTTTTTAAATGGTCAAAATAATGCAGGAGGCATCAACCAAGATGATGTTTGGATGTAAATAAGCAAGTGAGAAGAAGATGTTCAACATTATCGATCATTATGCAAGCAAATGACATTACAAAGAAATATTACCCCATAACTATCAGTGTGTCTGGAATTAAAAAGACTGATGTCACCATGCTTTGGCCAGGGTTTGGAGCAACCCAAAGTCTCACATGCTGAGGGTGGGAAAGTAAAGTGAAGCAAGAGCTGTGGGAAACAGCAGTTATTTAACATTGAGCACACATCTGCCATCAGATACCCCCTTCTACTCCTAGATGTTTACCCATGATAGGTGAAAATATGTATCTGCACATATACTTACCCACAAACCTCCAAAGTAGCTCTATTTTTCAATAATAAAAAAAAAGCAACAATCCAAATGTCCATCAACAGGGAAGTGGATAAATGATCTATGATAAATCCACATGATACATTCAGAAATGCAGAAAATCAAAATAATTACACTGAGGGAAAGAAGCCAGGCATAAATGAATGCATACCATATGATTCCGTTTATAGAAAATTTGTGAAGATGCAATCTGATCGGTAATGACAGAAAGTAGGTTGATGACTACCTGGGAGTGGAAGGGAGTGGGGGGAAACAGGGGTGCAGAGGGAGGTTTAAAACATGGAACCCCATGAAGTTGATCTCACTGAAGCTGAGAGGACAGCAGTGGTTATCAGAGGGGCAGAGGAGCTGGGGGTGGGCAGCACAGTCTTGTAGCAGATGGGAGGGGTCGGTCCTAGCATCCTGTCGCACAGGACGCAAGAGAAAGGATTTTGAATGTTTTCACCACAAAGAAAGACTGTGTGTTTGAGAAGGTAGATTTGCCCCAGTTGATCATTATACGATATTATACAGTGTGTGTGTGCGTGTGCGTGTGTAGAGAAATACCACACATGACCTCCTGCAAATATGTACAACTTATGTCAATGAAAAATAAATTTTTAAAGAATTCTTTAAAGGGGCTGGGATTGTGGCTCAACAGGGAGTGCTCACCTAGCACACGTGAGGCCTTGGGTTCGATCCTCAGCACCACATAAAAATAAAATAAAGGTATTGTGCTCAACTACAACTAAAACAAAATATTTTTAAAAAAATTATCTAAAGGGGGTACGTGGAAGTTTGGGGGTGATGATCTGTCACTCTCAGGATCAAGATGTTTTCACGATACATTCGTCAACCCTCAAGCTGTGTGCATGACATGTAGCACATCATGTCCATCACGCCAGCGCCCATGCTACAGACGTGCCCATAGAAAGCCCACATTCAGGCTCAGCCCAATCCAGGCTCTCTGGCTCTTGGCGCCACCCGGCAGGCCATGTGGTTGGTGTGGGTTTTCTCCTCTTCTCGCTGAGCCTGCAGAGGACGGGCACTTGGTCCACTTCCACCGAAAGGTAAGCCCTGGGGGAGTCCATTCTCCTGGAACTGAGTTCCTCTGAGAAGAGCAGCCGCCCTTGCTGGGAAGGTTGCTTGATGGTGCTCAGAGTCAGGCTGAGGATGCAGGGCCACATGAGAGCTGGTACCAGGACTCTGCAGACCTGGGGAAGCTGCAGGGACAAGGTGGGGACAGGAAGTGGGTGGCCAGAGGGCGGAGTACCCCCTGTGACTCCACACCTTCTCCACCCACTTTTCTGAAAATGCTACAAACAGATCAATGCTCAGGGCTGTGGATTTCTCCCCGCCCCTCCCCCACCACGCCTACCTGGGTCTCACTTGAGGGGACAACAATGAGACCCACTTCATAGAGGTGAGTGGGGCTGGGTGAGGCCAGGAGTGTGGAGGGTCAAGGTCACACTGAGGGAGCTGAGCCTCTTGCTCTTCCAAGGTCTCTTTTCTCAGGGCTCATCAGAGAGAAAAGTCATTGTATATGTCTCCGTGGTGAGGCATAAATATTGGAAAGAAAGAGAAGAGAGTAACAGCCAGCTCCTCCCCCAGCCAATTAGTTGCGGAGAGAAGCCGCTTTCCCTGGGCTGGGGACCCCTGGCCAAGCAGCCTCCTGGAATCCTGGGGCGAAGGCTCCAGACTTGGGGGACGGCCCCCTGGGTGGCGACTAACAGAGTCTGGGGGAGAACCAGCCAAATAATCAGGGCATTCACTTGAGGGGCCTTGTTTGCTGTTTCAGTGCAAATTAGCAATTAGCGGGGGCTGGCGCCGGGCCACCTCCCTTACAAGGCCGGCTGGCAGCACGTGTCGTTTTGTTCTTGGCTGGGGACCCACAGGCTGGGTGGCAGGGAATAGGCCCTGTCGGCTGCAACCAGAAGCATCAGGGTGCTCTACCTAGAGAAGGGCTTCCATCCAGGGCGTCTGCCCAGGGACCCCCAGCAGGCCACCTTCACTGTTGGGTAGAAGACCAGACAGAAGGGACTCTGGGGTCCTGAGTTCTACCATTGTCCCCAACAGAGAGAAACAGAACAGGAGCCGCAGCACCCACTGGGGAGGCTGGAGCAGGGACCCTCCCGCTTCCTAGTCCAAAGTGGTTTCCCTAAACCAGGATTCCCAAACTGAGCAAGGTGCCCTGGAGGATTGCGGAAGCGCACATGGCCAGACCACACCCCGTTTCCATCATTTGCTTTTCCAAGAGGTTGCCAGCGGGTGCGGTGGGTGCTGGTGCTGGTGGTCCTGAGACCACACCTTGAGAATCATTGCCCTGAGATATTTCTCTTAAGGTAATGAGGGAGAATGTTTCCTTCCTTTATTCACACACACACACAGTGGGACATCAGCAAAGACTAGCAGGAAAAATGGGGTGCTAGGCAGATTATTTGATTGGCATGGGAAAGCAAGCAAGAGAAGCAGGGATTCTGATAAATGATCCACTTCATCAACTAAAAACACCTGAACGTGGGGGCTTTGCAGATAATACACAGGGCCTGTGCAGAAAACTAGAAAAACAGACTTGGAGAGGGTAGGGATTTAACCCAGTGCTTTACCACTGAGCTACACCTTCAGCACATTTTAATTTTTACATTGAGATGGGGTCTCACTAAGTGGCTGGGGCTGGCCTTAAACCTTTGATCCTTCTGCATCAGCCTCCAGAGTCGCTTGGGATTGCAGGCATGTGTCACACACCGGCTGCAGAAACAGACTTAAACAGAATGAATGATTTGCTGATGATCTCTTTGGGATCGTCAAAAAAGAACCAAGCTCTCAGGAGATGGGAAGATGGCCTGGAGCAGGCACAAGAGTGCCTTCTCTCCGGACAGACCTGCTTGGCAGATGGAAAGCTTACTCCTGCTGACTCTCCAGGTCCCTAGAGCCCAAGGAATAGCACACAGGAGCCTTAACCTTTGGTTTTAATTTGAATTTCAGATAAATGACAAATAATTATTCAACCTAAGTATGTCCCAATATTGCCAGAGTGTAGTTAGACCAAAAACTTTATCTGAAGCCGTCTCCAGCCCTGCTCCTGCCTGTCTCAGCTCCAGGGCATCTCTGCCCACAGGCATCTGACCCACCGTGCGGAGGGCCCAGGATTCAATGCTTAACGTTCATCACGTCTGGCCCAAGGGAAGTGCTCAAGGAATGCAAGCTCTCCTGCTTTGTGTGGGTGCCGTGTTTAAAAGTGTCAGGAAGAGATGGAGCTGGTCTAAACCACACCCAAGCTCACCCCAAAGCTATTGTCCCTCTGCTGCACCCAACAGCACACCCTGCTCAGCTGAGCAGGGTCTTGAGGCTTGAGGCTGTTCAGGGGAAGCTGAGGGCCCTGGGAAACGTGTCAGGGTCCCCACGGCTCAGCACGGGTGTGCGGGGCTCTTCTCATCAGGTGCTTCATAGACACTGGTGGGTGGGGCAGCCTTGCCCTGGAGGTGCCAGAGATCTCGGCTCTGCATGGTGGAGACTGACTCAGAGAAACAGTAGGTAACTGTCAAAGGACCACGGAGGTGGGGGTAACCAGACCTGGCCTTTGACCCCGAGCACGTGACCTTGGGCAAGTGAATTGACTTCTCAACCAGCTAATCTGAAAAATGGCACTAAGCCCGCCTGCGGTTCTGCCCCTGGACTGCAGGAGACTGGAATGGCTTCCAGGGGTGGTGAGGGTATGTCAGGCTGCTGGTGACCCTGGGGCCTGGGGGGTGGAGGGCGCTGGCTCTGGGGTGCCAGGCCCAAGGGCATCTGGATTTTCTCCATCTCCCAGAGACACCTTCGACCAATGCCCGGGAATTGCTTTCCCAGGTACCTAGAGTGGTGCGTTTTAGCCACGGTTGGAAGAGGCCGCAGAGCTGGGTGGTCAAGGACTTGAACGGAGGAGTCCGCTTGTCTACGATGCTCATCATCACGGGGCGACTGGTGTGCCAGCTTGCCCAGGGCGGGGCACCTCCTGGCACACAGACTCCGTTTCTCAGCTGAACTGAGACAGTGGGTCCGCCTAGTTACTATCATGCTCGGAGTCATTCAACCGCTCATGTTAGTCTGAGCCCTCTTCCTAGCTTCCCTTGTCACAGCCCTTGCCCACACCCTCGCCTCCTGTGACAAGCAGTCGTCATGCTGCTCAGACTGCATGGAGTCCACGGTGGCTATCCACTGTGTGTTTAGGTCCTCCTGCTTCTCTGCGAGGTGCACGTTGGAATTCCCGGGGACTTTGGAGAATTAATACATCTCCCTCCCTCTCCAGGGATGGTGGCCCCCGATCCTCCCATCTCTGGCAGGTGGTCAGATCCCCAAGCTGCTCCTGGACAATGAACCCTTCATCACAGGAACTGACCACAGCAGAGGTGGAGGAAAGCCTTGGGAAGAAGAAACGTGGGCCCCTGCACCCTCTCCCACGAAGAGTGCTCGCTGCGAGCAAACCAAGTGCCACCTTCCACCCTCCCCTGGCCTGAGCAGGAGGAGGAGCAGAACCCGGTGCTCAGTCCAGAGTGGAACCCACGGACCACCGCAGCCCAGACAAGTGATTAAAAGCCTGCGGGGTGACCCCGGAGTTCCAGCACTGGCAGGGCGCGGATTAGAACTGTGGCTTTGTTTCACTCATTAATTCAATCCAGACCTTGGGTTTTTAGGAATCGTAACGTTCTCGGCACCCCGAGAGGGACCACAGAGGTTGGAGAATGAGCTCTGAGAATCAGACACTAAGGAAATCAGCCCAGAGGAGGGCTTGGGAGTCAGAGAGAATCAGGTCAGCATCCGGGCTCTGCCTGTGCCCAGGGAAGGGCCCTGCCTTCCCCAGCTCTGCCACCTGGACCTACCTAGCTCACATGATTGCTGTGACACTGAGGGGCAGTTCTACAGGTGGACAAGGAGAGCCAGGCACACGGAGGTAATGGGAAGGGGTCATAGTGCATGGTGGTGACAGGGACAGGGGCCTGGCAAGACAGGACCCCTGCATCTCTGTTTAAACAAAGACTTGGCAAAACACAGAAGCCAGCAATTTAGGTATATTTCTGTGATAGGATCATGGATATCTTTATTTTAATATTCTTTTTTTGTACTGGCAATTAAACCCAGGAGCATTTAACCACTGAGCCCCATCTCCAGCCATTTTTATTTTGAGACAGGATCTTGTTAAGTTGCTTAGGGCCTCACTTAATTGTTGAGGCTGGTTTTGAACTTACAACCCTCCTGTCTCAGCCTCCCAGACACTGGGATTCCAGGTGTGTGCCACCATGCCTGGAAATTTTAGTATTCTTATAACCCCTTTTTACCTTTTGAGACATTCAGGGAGCGCTGGTCATAACAAAAATAAGAACATAATGAAAACAACGCACTCCAATGGGCTGCTCAGTACCTGCCAGGAAACGTAAGCAAATGCAGGAACCGGCCACTTTGAATGATCCTCCAGGAGATAAAACAGAAGACACAAGTACGGGCAATCAAGATGTCTGTCCCTCCAAACCACAGGACATTAAGATACTCCAAGACTGAACGTCTTGCCTGGTAAAGGTGGGATTGGAGCCGGGCGTGGGTCTCACTGTCTGCACTCCTAACGTCCTGGTCTGGGTTGGGGGCCAGGCCAGGAGGCAGGGCTCCTCCGCGGCCTGCCCAGTGGAACCTGGCGTGTGAGAAGGAGTTCAGGCAGACCTCCTGTGGCACGCAGCAGCAGAGCTCTAGACCTGAGATGAGAAGCCCAGGTCCAGGGAATTTTGTGGTTTCTACAATAAAAACCTCCTGGGCCTGAAACAGCATGTAAGTGTGACGGGCACTGGACGGTCCCTTCCCTCCGCCCTCTCCTCCCACAGCACCATCCTCTGACCCAGCTGCCTTTTGAGGGCCAGCAAGTGACAGTGGGGTGAGCAGGACAGCTCTCACTCTGAAAGGGAAATGGGAAAATGCTCAAGAAGGCGCCGAGGGAGGAAATCCACACCTGGCTGGGGTGAGCTGGCCGGGAGAGCTGGCCGGGGCTCTAGTCTCCACCACCACACGGCCTGCAGCCGTAAACAAGAGGCTCCAACTTGCTGTACTGGTCAGTTAGGTCTGTGTGACAAGTACCGCAGGCCTGGTGGCTTCAACCTCAGAAAAGTATCATCTCAGTTCTGGAAGCAGGAAGCCCAGGGTCAAGGTGAAGGCAGGGCGGGCTCCTTCTCAAGGTGTTGGTGAAGGATCTGGAGATCCA